ATTCATCGGGTTGCGGAGACGTCAAAAGGAAGAGTTGGTCTCGACAGTTTTGCGTGGAGGTCCACGCTCCTCGATGAACACTAGCTTCCCTACGCTTCTTGATCGAGGTTTCCCTTCACCCGAAAAGTTCTTCCCCGATCAACGCTCGGGAAGGAATATTTTGTTTGAGTCAGTGATGACAAATTATGGCAAACTATAATTTATGCTCCATCATTTTAATGTTCCATCTTTTCGAACTCCTTTTCTTGAAATTTACTTCGCTAAGTTTTCTAATTCTAAAAAATTTTTGGATAACATTTCACCTTCACATTATCGTGACTTCGGCTTAGTTTACTAGTCAGCTATCCACTTTTATTTCAAGTTTACTGCCTCAACGTTTCCGACAATTCGATTGAAATTTCAAACTCTCCGGAAAGATTGCTTACCGTTTTCCCACAGGAATGTTGGACATGGGAGGGGGATTCCCCTCAGAGGAAGCCGGAAATTTTGTTTCAATAAAGCTTGGAAAAAAATTTTTTGGACAGTTTAGCTTCGGAAATTCCGAAAGAGACTTTTTCAGAATTTTAAAATCAGAAATTTTGAATGAAGCAGTTCGAAAATTTTTAGAAGGCAGATTTTGCAGAAATTCCGTTCTTGTAAATATATCAAGAAAGGATATTGGATGCTTTAGATCTGGATATTCCGAAAAAAAGGACTCTTGGAGTGCCAAAATTGAAATTTTACGAAAAATGTTTTTGGGATGTCAATTTCGGAACTTTATAAATGAAAGATGATTCCATAGTTTTTTTTGGATAGTTTAGTTTCGGGACTGTAGAAAGAAGTTTTTCAAGATTTTTGAAAGAAATATTTTCTGGATGGTCAGGTTCGGGACTTTCAGACGGAAGGTTTTTCTGGTTTTGTTCCCATACACTTGGAAGTTTCTAGGATATTCCAGTTTCTTGGATACGAGAAGGTAAATTCTTTAAGAATTAAAAAAAATAAAAATCTCGAAACAGATGAATGAAAGTAACAAGCAATGCAAATTTGGCTTGCTTTTAAACGTGGCAACTTGTCACGGCTCTAGCAATTGACTTCCTCTTAAGAGCGGGAATTTAAAAAATTCTGGAAGCATCCATAACAAACCCAAACTCCGATCGTTTTTGGGGGGCCAACTGGTCGCTAGACGGGTTCCGAAGTGCCGTTTCGCGACCAGAGGTCTAGAGGACAAAAGCCTGACTTCCAGTTCGAGTATGCTTTCAGGTGGAACAAATTTCGTCAACCCCAAATAACTGAGATGGCACCCCAAATCTGCCCAAGACTTTCACAGACACCATCGACCCCAACTGAAAATCAGGCTGAATCAAGTGCCCCCAACTAATCAACGACTGCTGTATGCTTGCTGCACCTCATATATCCTACGGTTCCACAACCACCGACTTGCTGCCACAATTAGACTCAAATTCCCTCATGCGAAAGTTAAATTTTGATTTGTTCGTTCGTAAACAGTCTACAGAACAACGCAAGCAATAGCCATTCACTAGTTGGACAGCACTCTTGAAAGAGCTCTTTTAACCACATGAGGTGGCCGGAAGACGAAGTTCCGTAAAAAGCTCTTTCGAAAAAGAAAAACAACAATAAAAATAAACGAAAACATAGCAATACCCCCTCCCCAAAACTTTTACTCCTTTCACATAATTCAGATCTGGTTGCTAAAATGAAAACATAAAAACATACAACACATATCACATTACAGCGTATAAATATCACAGTATACAACAAATACCACATCAGAGCACACAAACGTCACAATATGCAAACATATCACATCATAGCATACAACCAGTCACATTATCATAATACCACAAATAGTACATTAGGACAGAAAAAACATCAGCACATTAATTTACAACGGTGACCAATTCCTCACCGTTATGGCAAGCGGATGGCTTCAATTTGCCTCATGCATTATCGCCAAGCAGAACACTGCTCCGGGGTGATAAATTTGTTATCATCAGATTGAATCACAAATGAATATTTCTAATAAATACAGCGTACTATTCACTCGAAATAAATACAACTAAACTGATTCAAGTACACCAAATGACCAAGCACAGTTACCTAATCCGTTACTAGGTTCGGAAGAAAGAGCTAATGAAGGATGGACGAAAGGTACGGGAGGGATGAACTCATTGCCGTCATGACAATCCTAAACTCATCGAATACGACGAATACTGACAACTCGTTGATTCTTTGAGGCGATTTCCGCGTAGCGTGTGGTAACACGTGGAGAATCATTTATACAGCTGTCGCGCCACGCACCATTGATATTTTCTCATTTATTCCAATATCAGCAAAGTTTTGAGTTTACTTCCAGGCAGAAGCATCAAACTTCAGCCTGTCCCTGTTATGTGACATCTAATTGCACCCGGGTAGTTTGTGCGGGATCCCTATGCACTTTGCGATTCTACCTAGCTCATGGAACGCCACCAAACAATGCCTAGAAATGTTACCCACCATTATGCCTGGCGTGACAGCATCAAAAACACGATAATGATCAACCAGAGGATGAATACGGTGATGACCGCACGAAGCAATCACATATAAAATAACACACAAATAACTACAAACAACAACATCAAGGGGAAAATTAAACAAATACTCACATTAACATGAGATTTCAATACCCATATCCAATCGCACAATTCGAAACAGAATAACACGAACAAATTCTGAAAGAATATCTTGAAAAAGAAATCTAATTAAGTCAGCTGCTATCAATTCGGTTCAACTCAAAAGTAGTTTGAGGTCAAGTCACTCCAATGGTAAGTGAAGCCATG